CAATGGGATGAAGCTGGGGCTGAGCTTTGGTGGTATCTCCCACCAAAGAAGAATTTTCAGAGGCCTTTGTGTTTCTCTCTGCTGCCTCTACAAGCAATCTAGGCCTCACTTCACCTCTTCTGCTTCAACACCCTCAAAAGCACCTGCACTTCCATTAGGGACAAGGGAAGCTTCCATTAAGTGCTGTCAGATGGATCCAGCACTTGCCAAGTTTGGTGCTATGATGCTGGAACAACCATTGCAAGGCTGTCCAGAAACAAGGCATTTAGGAAAAGGGCAAGCAGCTTTTAAAGCAGATTTTCAATAATAACACAAAATATCTCCCCTGTAAGGACAGGCTGAGAGATCTGGTGCTGCTCAGCCTCAAGAAGAGAAGGCTCCAGGGAGGCCTTACAGCTCCTTCCAGTGCCTAAAGGGCCTCCACAAGGGCTGGAGTGACAGGGCAAGGGGGGGATGGCTTTAAACTAACAGAGGACAGGTTTAGGTTAATTACTAGGAAGAAATTCTTCCCTGTGAGGGTGGTGGGGCCCTGGCACAGGTTGCCCAGAGAAGCTGTGGCTGCACCATTCCTGGCTGTGTCCAAGGCCAGGCTGGATGAGGCTTGGAGCAACCTGGGACAGTGGAAGGTGTCCCTGCCCATGGGAAGGGATTGGAATGAGATGATCTTTAGCATCCTTTCCAACCCAAAGAATGCTGTGATTCTATGATTTTACATGCTGTGTTTCCTAACTGCAATAAGGGACAGTGTTTATGAACAGCAGTTGAACCTTTTAAGCCATAGACTTGAACCAGGATGGATAACAAGAGGAAGGAAGGAAGGAAGTGCCATCAGTCCTGTTCTATTGCCAGAGACACTTGAGGCATGCACAGTCTCTATCCGGAATCTCAGGCCCAGGATCAGCCAACACAAATTTTAAGGACAATGTGCAGGGATTTAAAGAATTTCTCTCCCAGGGATGCTCAGTAAAACAATTTCAGGAGGAAGGGGCATTCTGTGAATAGCCTGTCATAAGGCACGTAGGGACATCTTTGGAATGAAGATGGCTTTCACACACTCAGCCTAATGGTCATGGAGGGCCAAGCCTGTGCTCAAGGGCTGAGCTGAAGCAGGAACTCTAGTAGAGCTTTTCCTCTGTGCAGGAACAATTGGGGGAAGCTCTGTCGTTTTGAGGAATTTCCGAGGACAGTAAATTACATACTCGATCACAGCTCTATTATGTTTTGAGGGAAGGCATTTGGAAATTAATATTTCATATTAAGATTTAAATAGGGCATGCATACAGCTCTGCTGCTCACAAGCACCCTCAAACCTGGCTGCCACAGCATTCTCCATCCTGTTGAGGTGAGTTTAAGCAGACTCTGAGTTGGCAACAGCCAACCTTGTAAGCAGACCCTGGCTATCTGTGTGCCTCAGTTCTCTGCTGCCAAACAAGGAAGATATGTGCTGTTTCTGCTTCACAGAGTGCTTAGAGAGACCCTGGGGCAGGAAAAACCCATCAGTGATTGCACTAATGATCTGATAAAGCAAGACTTCTGGAAGCACCTAGAAGGCAAATGAGATGTGGCTCCCTTTTCATCCAGAATGAAGGAATTCAATGCCAGGAGTAGGATATTAGATGAACTTTGAGGTCTTCCTGAAACAAGTATTATATTGTGTAAATCAGTCAATAGAGACGACACAAGGGAGTTTAAAGGGTTTTTTTCTAGGGCTGGGAAAAAACTTCTGTTTATTCAAAAGTGTTCCATTGGAAGGTGTCTGAAGGGTGTGCTAGATCCCATGTTGTCGTGGACTGACCCTGGTCTGAAGCTGACCACCCACACAGCCACTCACTTACTGCCCATATGTCAGAGGGATGGAGGAGAGAATAGGATGAGAAAAAGTGCAAAAAACTTAGCAGATTGAGACAAATAAAGGTTAATAGGGAAATAAAGAGGAAAGGAAAAAAAAAAAGGTAATGTGAAGGCAATCCTTCACTACCTCCCACAAGCAGATGTATATTCAGAAAAATGTCCAAGCAATGGCTGGTTTGAAAGACAACCCTAAATTGCACCACTATTTTTTTGTTGCTAAACATGCTATTATATGGTTTGAAACATCCTTTTTGTGAATTCAAGTCAGATTTCCTTGTTGTAATCCCTCCCAACCCTCATTCCACTCACTACAGAGTCAGTGGGAAGAAAGGGAAAACCTTGATGCTTTGCAATCACTGTTCAGCAATAGCCCAAACATTGGTATGGTATCAACACTGTTTCAGCCACAAATCCGAAAGAAAGAACTTTATGAGGAAAGTTAATTCAATTCCAGCACACCCATCTTGTTTGGATTGCTCAAATGGGAATTATGGTGGAGAGGAGAGGGTTTTGGGGCAGAATTCATTTCAGGCTTCCACAGGAATAAACTGAAGTTTGTAGAAAACATATAAACTGTGTGTAGACATGATGGATTAAGGCTACAACATTCATGTCATGTCATGGGATGGCTGTGAGAGGGAAACTTCTTCCAGTCCACCATCAACAGCAGATAAGCCCTTGGAATAGGCTGCAAATGTAGTCAAAAACTTCTTAACAAAGTCCACTGATGCAGCATTATAACATGCAAATAAAGCAGTGTAATTACTAGACAACCTGCTACAGTGAATTATCTGTTCTGCAGGAGCTCATATTTTCTAAAAAAAACCCCAACCAAACAAATGAGGAATCGATCATTTGTCCATGAGAGAGAAACAAGCCATTGCAAATCTTTTGCTAACTCTTTCCAATTTTACCTGTTCCTGCACGCCCACCTCGTGCATTCCGTCTCATTCACATTCTTAATACAACCAGTTCAGGGCCACTATCACAGCCCCACAGTTCCTGCCCTCACCCAGTGCTGGCTCAGTCCTCTCAGGATGCTGCCCAGCACAGATAAGGGGGACAAGCTGCTGCTCCTTACCAGCAGGGCAGGTGCAGGATCAGATTAACCCATGGGTGGTAACTGCCCCCATGCAGGATCATTGGAGAAATAAACTCTGTATAAACATGCAGCTGGGGTGGATTTGCTCATGAACGTCAATTGAATCCCTTTTGAAGATCACAGTCCTAAGAAACTATTTCATGGAAAACTGGAAATGGTTTTATGCAAGGAGTTTGGTTTTACTTTAGATTCATCCCATTTGATGTTAAAAAGCCATGATTCTTGCACAAGATTGAGATTAATTCCAGCAGCAAACCATTTCAGTTTCAAGCACAATAGAACCCCAAAATAATGATGTCCTCATGGATGATGTAATTCATTTCCATATTTGTCTGCTATCTTCTGACAAACTGAATCACAGCCCTGAGCAGGTAGGTTTCTTGGTCAAGATGAATGGGTTAAAAAAAGGAACTCTAGTAAAGGCTGCACTGGTCTTTTGTGTTATAACAATGAGAGGAAGCTCTGCCTAGTTTGAGGAATTTCCCACGTCTAGAATTCAGAGGTTGGAGACCTGCTTTATTAAGCCTGCCTAAAAGGTGTTAAAAAAATAAAAATAACCAAGAAGATCAGGACAAAGATATCTTCCCAGTGCCTACGCATGTTCTCTTTGTTTGTTTTTTAAACCTGGATCACCGGAGGCAAACTCAGACGAATTTAGGGAAGTTAAATAGTGACAGATGCCAAATAGTCACAGCAGGTTCCTGCTGAGCTGGCTGGCCCATCACTGATTTAAGTGTCACTGCCACCCAGGTGCTAAAGATTTGCCCCTAAATTTCTTTAAATATCACTTCATTCTGTAATGTTGCCAGACATTACTGGACAGGTTAAATGACAGAAATAGATGAGGAATTTTCTGGGTGAAAGGAAAATCTATGGGTTGCAAAATATCATTTTCATCGTGCAACAGCAAGTGATGGAAGCAGGAGAAAAGGAGCCTCAGGCTTTCAAATTCATAACATCCTTTGCCTTGCTATTCCCTTGCTTGTCACAAGCTCATTGCTTCCTAAAACTCTCACTGAATGTGTGAGTTACAGCACTCAAACAGTAACACCTTTCTTCCCCAAATCCAAAAGTTCCTCATGCACGTAGGTGAGCATCACTTTCCCATGATGGGGAGAGAGAAATGAGGTTGTACAGGGTCACACCAGAGAGCTGCTTTTTTTCTGAATCATGACCACTTAAGCCAAATGCATACTGCACCAGAGATGTTTGGAAGTGGAGCAGAACTTTTGGGGATATAGACATCAATGGAAGTGAAAGCATCAGAAAGCTTCCCTGTATCCCGCCTGACACTGAACACTGGCAGCAGCACTCCAGCACAACACCATAAAATTTTCTTTCATTTAAGCAGCTGAAAACACAGATAGAAAAGAATGGAAACAAGATAAATGTGATGTTCAAAGGCATTAAACAGCAGTTTCTCAGCCTGTGGCCATGGGTGCCCCAAGTCCCTCTCCCCTGTCAGAAAGTTTTACCTAATATGAAACTGAAAGGAGATTGCTCTTAAAAGAAACAAACCCACCGTTCTATACAGCTAACAAAATACAGTGCCTGCATCTGTGTTGCAAATTCCAACAACCGTAAATACAAAACAAAGTGGAAAAAATCTAAATGCTGTTGCAGTTGACTTTTTTTCTCTGAAACTCAGCAGCACAACTTAGGAGGTAATAAATGCAATGAGGATTAGCACAGCATTTCCGTGTGTGTCCCTCTTTACCTCTGTAACCCCAAGCTTAAACTCAAGCAATCATAACTTCTATTGGCATTCACTAGCCAAGTGAACAGGCAGTAGCACTTTGTCAGGAGCTTGAATGGCTTAATTCACACACTGAGCAGCCAAAAGCATCCCACAAAAAACTGCCAGCTAATCACCACAAAATGAAACCTGTGCCGATTGCAGTTCCCGGGCAGAAACCTGTGGCAAGTTTACTGGTGATTCAAAGCTTGCACCACACTGCCAGAATCCAGACCCAAAAATTCCTTCAAGCCACCCTTGCCTGCCCCAAAATGTTAAAGCAATACCACATTTCACACACAGCATCCATACCTGTAGGGCAAAAAGTGCTGGTCCTGTCCGACTCTCTTCCAAACTTGTCCTCTTGTGCTGGGATGGAAACTTCCCGTCCAAGTGTCACCTCCTGTCTCAGTTCTGCCCTTTGTTTTCCCTGTTTTCCCAGATCTTGAGACACACCTGCTTTTCCCTGTGTGCTGTTTCTTCTTGGGCTTGGGGTTTGCTTTTTTTTGTTTTGCTTTTCTTTAGGAACAAATTAAACAGCCTGCAAGCAATTCTCAGTGAGTGAGAGAAAGAACCTTTTGGCTTGTGGTGATTTAATCAAGCAAACCCCGTGACCTCCCTTTCCTGCGATCAGTGGGAACTGATCCCTTCTCCACCAGTGCAGGGTGGAGTTGCAGCTAAAAAGCACAAGCTTGAAAGCTGGAGGGGCAGGACAGGTCTTCCTTCTCCGTTTGTTGTGTCAGAGAACATGGTGATTCCTGCTGCTCTGAAACACGGAGGTGACCTCTGGCCAGGAAGGAACCTGGAAATATTTTCTAAGTGATTTCCTGCTGTTGGGGGGAAAGTGGATGTAAGGGACACTTGGGCGGGGGTGCTAACAGAGCTTCTGGGGAGTGTGATTTCAAGATGATCAGAACACTTTCTTGGTCACCAGGGGTGTGGAAGTAAAAGAAATTACTTTTTTTTTTTTTTTTTTTTTTTTAACCCAGGGTAAACTGTTCTGAGTCTCAATTTTCACTATGCAGAATAATCTGCACCCTACAGCTGCTCCTCAGACTTTCAGCTATGGTGCCTTTCATTCCAAGAGGTGCTGAGATATTCTGCAAATAAATAATGGAGAGCCATTCCATATGGAGCTTGTGTTCAGCAGCACCCCAGCAATGCAGCTGTGCCACAAGGGCTCCTTGTCAAGGTGCAGAAGAAATCTGAGCAGGCTCATGCATCAAGAAGAACAACTTTTCCTGGAGCAGCCCATAAATTGTGCTGTGCAGGTCCTTTTGCCTCCAGCTGGGGCTCTTAGAGTGGATTTTTCAAGCATTAGCCAAATGACTGCACCCCTGGGAGATGGTGAAGGTGCCCCACAGTTCAGTCCTGGTTATGCTGATTAATGAAGGACACTCTAATGGCTTCCTTAGAATCACAAAATCATAAAAGAGTTTTGGTTGGACAAGACCTCTAAGATCATGGAGTCCAACCATTAATGCTGCCAAACCCAGTGCTAAACTATGTACCTAAGCACCACATCCACATCTTTTAAGTCCCTCCACCACTTTCCTGGAAGATGTGTTCTTCGTTGTTGTCTCTCCTGGCTTTGGATCATCTCTGATGTTCTTGCAAGGTAACTGCAGTCCCATGGCCCAACATCAACCCATCAGATGGCCCATAGCATCTCTCATCTCTGATGAGAGGTATCAGCTTCTTCCTCTTGACTGTACAAGTAGCTGAGAACAGCTTGTCCCTCTGTGTTTCAGGGTCTGACTGGGGTGTGTGTGGACCATATTTCTGAGGGTGTCTTAAGATGGAAAATTGCACCCAGAACTCCAGATTCTACATATAATAGCACCCTTCTTTCTGCACACAGCAAGGATTTATTTTAGCAACCTGATATCTCCACTCAGGATCACTTTTAAGTTACTCCACCTGATCCAGGTCATACTGCAAAATCAAGAATGGACATTTGGACATTTCACTGCTGAATACACCTCACCCACATGCTCACTGACATATACTTTTTCTAGCAACAGAGGAGAGAAAGAGAGAGAGAGAGGAAGCCTGGGCAACACACCCCATCTTTATGTGCTTTTGATTAATGAGTGTGATCTATATTTCCTTCTATTCAACAGCAACCTCTGTATCTGGGCATTGCACTACCTATATCAATGGAAATCATTCTTACTATGGGTCACTAGAAAGAAGAAAGCAGGTATTTTACTTTATCACAAACTTGTCCTGTCATCAAGGAATGTCATGGCTAGCAATGCTCTAATGTGCACGTGGACAATAAAAGGATATTTCAATTGATTTCAATTGTCCTCGTGATCCTGGCAGATAGCAAAGAATTTACCTTTGCTCATACCAGGGGGAGCAAATCCTGACTCATTTTGCTGTAAAGTGTTGAGAAGGAAGGAAGTAATGAAATGTCTCATTATACATCTGACCTGAGGAATATATTTAGAACTGACTCTAGTGCTGAAGGCTGCATGGTCTCACACCAAAAGCAGCAACATGCCCTGCACTGTCTCCCTGCAGCCAGTGGTCAACTGAGACTACTTATGTTCGTAAATAACGTCTCTGAAGATGACTTTTTTTCCTGAAGCACCAGGAATTCATTGCAGTGACAGAACAACCAATTTGGGTATTCAGAGTACTTCAGTTGTACACTGCCATCACTCATCTTTATGGGTTTCTTTTAGGTTGAAGTGATTTGGGTTTATAATGAGGATTTTTTTAGGTTAGTTACCATACTTGTATGAATTTCATCATAGCAGGATGATCACTACAATAATATGTAATGTAACCATCTAGTTGTAAATGGCCAAGAAGATAAATGGATATTTTATCTTCTAGGAAAAAAAAAAAAGCACAGACAAAGAAAATGTGGGAAACTGAAGCTGAGAAATTTAATTTAAAGCAAAGATCCATATTTTTCATAATCCCAGCAATCAATTATGCATATAAACCTCCATGTGATTCACTAATACTTGTCATCTTTGTATGAAAGCTGGCTGCTTTCCTTAATTTTTCTTCATTTTTTGGCTAAGATAGAGATACAACTACCTGACATTCTTAATAAAGGACCTACTCTTTCAGCCTTTAGACTTACTGAGTTCTTTTATTATTAAATTAGGGCTCTGGCTGCCTCAGTGGTCTGTGGTTTTAACAACATGTTTTGTCTGAGGTTATGTAAAGCTTCATCTGCTAAAAGCAGTTATTGACAATAGGCAACCAAGGGCCTTCGTAGCTGATCGGAAATCCCAGTGCACAGACCCAGGCCAAAGCAGGGACTTGTGGAGAATGATGGAGAACTCATTGAGCTTCTGTGAAAGCCAATCAAGGAAGTGGAAAACGCCTGTTACTGGTAGCCTTTGTGCTCGTGCGATTGTTGGATTTCCCTAGCAGAATACATGCGGTAATTCCTCCAGGGAGTTCTGAGTCCCTTCCCACAAAGCACAACCCACCCATCCCTTTCTGAAACTTCAAGCAGCTTCCTCTGGGTTAGCTGGGCCCTGTTTAAAATGGATGGGTGCAGGCAATGGCCTGTTTTCCCATCGTTTCATCTGACAATGGACAATGAAGGAATTGTTTTTTTTAATGGTGCACTACCAAGCAGAAGTGATCATCACCCTAGAGGCTTGGGTGTGGAGAGCTCTGCAAAGCTGTATCCTACATAACATGGGGCTTCAAGACTCCATAAAATGTAATGTGCATTTCCACTTATAATTATCTGCTCATAAAAGTAATTAATGGAATTAATAGTAACAACACAGAGAAACCCAGCTGTCAGGAGGGTACCTTTGTGTTGAAGGTATACAGACCCCAAGCTCCAAGAGAATGGGGCAAGTAGTAGCTGAAAATACACAGATGGGACAGGATGTGTTCACAAGGAATGGTCCTGGTCCTGACATGTCAAAGGGACAATGCTCAGGCTAGACATGATGGGTGCAAGAGCAGACATCAGCAGAAGGAGGTGGAAGAATGTTGTCATCATCCAGGAGGTGCCACCAGTGAGATGGACAGAACCCATGGAGATGGAGGGTAGAGGGTATCTCCTGGTGCTGGAGGCAAGCAGAACCTGCAGGATTTAGGCAGGGAATCCCTTGAAGTGTTAAGCTTCAGTGATGCACAGACTTTGGTATGGGAGCATCTCACACACATGAAGAACTTATCTGGGATTGCTTTCAGGGCCAAGACCTCCCTTTTGGAGTCTGATGGATGTGGCCATAGTCCAACATGGTGGGGAAGTTCATGTGATTGACTGTCATTCAAAAAAAGGGTGCTCCTCTCCTGGGGCAAAGGGTGGGAGGGTATAGGGAGGGAGTTCCAGGAACTCTTCTTCTCATCTTGTCTCCATGACAGGGACAAAACTGGGGAGATAGATTATGTGTATACTGTCTTTCCTTGTGTTCTCACGTCCTTTCACTCAATACTCAATTTACCCAGTACTGATTTATTTACAGGAGAGAGGAAGCCTTGCATAGGTAAGTGTTGGGAAAGTAAACTTGGCTAGGAAAACATACCTTTAAAATCCTTGCTCTGACAGCAAATGTAATCTATGAGATTTAGGTACAATACCTTGGGCAGGTCCCCAAAGTGTTTTCCAAGCTTAGAAGGTGAAGAAGAAGGAAGTGGGTATCTGTGAGAGACTCCAAGATGAAAGAACACAGGCTGTGCAGCCACATCTGATTCCATCACACTAACTGAAGTCCACATCAGGGCATTGTGTATATATTTAGATTTTCATATCCTTTCCAGTGAAAAGAGACTCTTTGACTCAGTCAGAACATCTTTGTGGATCGTGTTGGTTAAGAGCATTCTGGTCATACAGCTGCTTTCCAGTCACCCCTCTGCCCCAAATGTCCACCACACCAAATGTCCATGGGAGCTTTGGAGTCACACGGATGACTAGAGGTAATTGAGCACAAAGAATGGCAGATTCAGAAAGGATTTATGAATTCCAGCTTGCAGAGAATCCATATGTATAAAAATAAATAGTCCATTGATTCATCAAGGCAATAATTCTTTTGCACAGAAAATGTCTAAGCAAAGCACAAACCTCTGGCTATACAGAAACCTTTGCATTTGGTACAATTCCATATGAAAGGCATTTATTTTGTGTGAATCTGATCTTTTTTCTCCTTTGCAGACATGTTGTGATCATCACATGTTCCTTCTGACACATAAGTCCAGGACCTAGACCTACTTTTTCATTAAATCAAATTCTTCTTTGCTGTCCTTCCTTGCTCTGGGACAAGAAGCACTCTTTCTGCTGTCAAAAAGAAGACAGCAATGCCACAAAGATCCCTTGGCCACACATCCTTTGCACTCATAAGAGACAATCTCATGTATTGGGAGAGGAAAACTGATTTTTAGCTTTGTGTATTGTGACATTTCTTAATTTCTTAATTTCTTCTATAACATTTTTAGGCTGATCTCACAGTTTCTCTGGAGGGCAGAGTGTGGCAAATGAGTGTTTTAAGGTCTGTTAAAGAATCACCACCAAAGGTATTGGCAAAAGCAGTTTTAATAAAACAGTAAAAGTGCAACAAAGTTTATTGGCAAGGTTCACTGTCCTACTTAACTGGACAGTTAAAACACACAGAGAAAAAGCAAACTAAAACCAAAAATCAATCAACCTAAACCTGAAATTAATCCCAAAATTATCTATATGGAGGCTGATGGAGAATCTGTGTGGGGGAAAAGGGTAAGGATATAAAGGACTAAGGGAAGACCT